GGACTCCTACATCGACAACATGATCGAGGAGTCTGGAATGAACAACTGCAACTCAGTGAACAATGCAGGATTTGCACACTACAAACCAACAGTAGAAGATGAAGCACTACTTGACCATGAACAACACAAAAGGTACAGAAGGATTGTTGGCAAACTTCAATGGTTAGCATACACACGACCAGACATTGCATACCCCACAAAAGAGCTAGCACGAGACCTCACAGCACCTACAGAACTTTCACAAAAAAGAGTCAAACATCTACTACGCTACTTGCACGGCACCAAGAACTACAAATTCACCATAGAACCAACAACAACACTCAGAGCAAACACCAACAACATCCTGGATCTCGACGTTCATGTCGATGCCGACTGGGCAGGATGCCCTACTACCAGCAAATCAACTTCAGGTTTCAACATCATCTTTCTAGGAACAACAGTTGCATTTGGCAGCAGAACACAGGCTACAATAGCACTCAGCTCAGCAGAGTCTGAACTCTACGCCATTTGCACAGGAGTTAATGAGGGACTACACCTCAGAAACTTCCTACTTGAAACCAACATTTGCAGCAAGCTAAACCTACGCATCCACACAGACTCCACAGCAGGCAAGAGCATTGCTACTCGACAAGGCACTAGCAAACGAGCAAAACACATCGACCTCAAATTTCTCTACACACAAGACCTCATCAAGCGCGACACCATCAGAATCCTTAAGATCAACACACTACACAACAGCGCAGATTTGTTTACCAAATACATCAGCAAAGAAACAATACAGAGGCTCGTCCAGAGCATTGGGATACGCATTTAGCACTACGAACGACCAGCGCAGCAGTTTCACAACAGCAACAACGACTTTGGACATTTCTTGTATGTAAGTAGCTACATGTAACACGACACCTTTGGTATGTAAGTAACAGTAACTACATGTATTTTCACTTGCACTTTTGGCGGCTGAGTCAACACTACAGTTGTTTGTTGTACATGTCTGCATGCGCCGCCTGCCTGATAGCAGCTACTTAGGCTCATTTTGTTTTTGCCCCGTTTCACTACATTTTGCATTCCACTGCAGCCATGGCCGCTCCATCTACTGCAGATGCTACGATGGGAGGGCAACTACACCTGAGGTGGCGGTCACTACGGACTCCAGTGACCATGGAACTCCACCACCTCAAACCTACAACGACTCCAACTACCACTTCAACCGAGCACCAGACAACCACCACACCACCATTGCCCGACAACACACCCTACACTCAGTTTTCACTGCACTCACACTTGAAGAGTATCAACTACTCTCACAACAACAAGCAACTCCACTGGCACAACTGGACTACACAAGACCCATTCACTGCATCCCTGGAGACCTTCGGATGCCCCACTACAACTCCACACTGCTCAGCGTTTCACTACCTGAAGCAGCCAACGTCCACTACTATCACACGACTTCACTCCACACTACAACCAGCGACAACACCAACTACGTCATCATCCAACTCCAGATTGAACAACCACTACTCCTGATACCTCACTTCAGGACAATTTCTACACCTCACAAGGGACTACATCTCCTACATGATGTCCATACAACAGAACTACTACCTCCCGACCACACCAATTCCACAGACCATCCACAAGGTGAACTACAACATGACCACCTTCACCGACAACTACAGCCTCAGGAACAACTACCTTTGGAACTACCACATGCCCCTACTACTACCTGAACTGCTCCACTACCTTTACAACAGAGACCAACTACAACTTCCAGCACAAGGCAATTACTACCATCCTTTGCAAGAGTATCCAGTACTACGGATTCACACTACTCACCATGACAAACCTCACTCAACATCTTCCATCCAGCGCCCTACATCGAGCTGGAACTTGAACAGCGTGAACTACTGAGCGCAGGTCACTACTTTTGCAAATACAGTAGAATTGATGAACAACAATGGTTTTCATCACTACTGTCAATCCATGTTTTGCACTTCAGTTGAAAGGTACTACAAAGACCTTTTAACTGAGGGGCCGTGTCAAACTACATGCTTCACTTCCTGCATTTGTGTTGCATGTATGTTCACTACTGCAGGCCTTGAGCTCACTACTTCGCATGAGTGAAAAGGTTGGCAGCTGCAGACTACATCGGTTGACTGATTGTTTGAACACTACAGCACTTGGACTTGTAAGCAAAGTAACAACCGATTTTAACGAGAGAGAGAGAGAGAGCGAGAGAGCGAGAGGGAGGGGGAGAGGGAGACGAAGACCAAGAGGTGGGAAAAAGCAAAGAAAGGGAGAAAAGGAAAGAACATTTGAATAAGAAAGGAGGAGCAAGGAAAAGAAAGGCAAAAGGGGTAGTATGTACATTGCGCAAAGACAATGTATAGAACTACATGAGAGATTGTATGACTCCCCGACCCAATCAAATCCTTGCTCGTGGCAGGCATCATTGCCAGCTCTTTCATCCATGCTACTAGTAACTGAGTCTCCTGTAATTGCTGTACCTCCACAAAACTCACCCACACATGATGTTCCCATTCAGAAGAAGTACCAAATCCGCCGACCCCCCTGCCTGCAAGGGGAAGGCGCTGGGGGAGTGTTCGTTTAGCGTTGGAGCGTGACTGTGGCAGCCTTCTCCCTTCCCTTTCGCCCTCGCCCGTTCAGCCCTGTACCTTACCAGCCTTCTTTCTTTCACTTTTTTCTTGTTCTTCTTCGTTTCTTTTCTTTCCTTTTCCTTTCTGCTGCCGGCGCACTCCTTTGGTTGGTGCTCGCTGTAGACAAACGAGTGCGGCCTGGAAAAGCGCGGGAAGCGAAGCTTTTGTGGCTGGCCGCTCCCTCTGGACCGATAGCCTTGCTGCATATTGGACTCAAACGCGACGTTAGGCACCCGGCCGCGGCGGAGCAGGCTGCCGGCGCACTCCTTTGGTTCGTGCTCGCTGCGGCGAAGCGAGTGCGGCCTCCAAGCGCGCTGGACGCGAAGCTGTTCTTGCTGGTCGCGCCCTGGGGACCGATAGCTTTCTACTTTCTATATAGGATTCAAAAGTGACGTTCGGCACCCGGCCGCGGCGCACCAGCCGGTCTTGGCAAGACGCACAGCAAACCCAAAGGGATGAAAGACCAGGGATAGGCAAACGGTGCCAGACGCAGGCGCACATGGGCATGGACAGGCCGGGGATTGAACCCGGCCCCTCTCGCGTGCTGAGCGGGTGTGATGCCACTACACCAACTGCCCCGAGCTGAGCAGGCCGAGAGTGCTCAACTACCTGCTGGGCACAGCTTTCAGCGCTGAAGCTCTGTCACGGCCAGCCCGTTCGCAGCCTGCTCCGCCGCGGCCGGGTGCCTAACGTCGCGTTTGAGTCCAATATGCAGCAAGGCTATCGGTCCAGAGGGAGCGGCCAGCCACGAAAGCGTCGCTTCCCGCGCTTTTCCAGGCCGCACTCGTTTCACCAACCAAAGGAGTGCGCCGGCAGCAGAAAGGAAAAGGAAAGAAACCAAAGGAGTGCGCCGGCAGCAGAAAGGAAGAAAAGAGGCCGAACGGGCGGGCCCGCACTCGTTTGCCCACAGCGAGAACCAACCAAAGGAGTGCGCCGGCAGCAGAAAGGAAGCAAAAAGGCCGGACGAGCGGGCCGTGACAGAGCTTCAGCGCTGAAAACTGTGCCCTGCAGGTGCTTGAGCGCTTTTCCAGGCCGCACTCGTTTGCCCACAGCGAGCACCAACCAAAGGAGCGCGCCGGCAGCAGATAGGAAGAAAAGAGGCCGCTGGACGCCGGCAGCCGATAGGAAGAAAAAAGGCCGAGCGGGTGGGTCTTCAGCGCGAAAAGCTGTGCCGAGCAGGTAGTTGAGCACGCTCGGCCTCCTCAGCTCAGGGGCAGTTGGTGTAGTGGCATCACACCCGCTCAGCACGCGAGAGGGGCCGGGTTCAATCCCCGGCCTGTCCATGCCCATGTGCGCCTGCGTTGGTCTTTCTCGCTTAGGGTTTGCTGTGCGTCTTGCCAAGGGCGGCTGCTGCGCCGCGGCCGGGTGCCGAACGTCACTTTTGAATCCTATATATAGAAATAGTATTAGTTAGAAATAGTATTAGTAGAAAGTATAGAAAGTATAGAAAGTAGAAAGCTATCGGTCCCCAGGGCGCAAACCAGCAAGAACAGCTTCGCGTCGCTGTGGGCAAACGAGTGCGGCCTGGAAAAGCGCTCCAGCACCTGCAGGGCACAGTTTTCAGCGCTGAAGCTTTGTCACGGCCCGCCCGTTCGGCCTCTTTTCTTCCTTTCTGCTGCCGGCGCACTCCTTTTGGTTGGTGCTCGCTGTGGACAAACGAGTGCGGCCTGGAAAAGCGCGGGAAGCGAAGCTTTTGTGGCTGGCCGCTCCCTCTGGACCGATAGCTTTGCTGCATATTGGACTCAAATGCGACGTTAGGCACTCGGCCGCGGCGGAGCAGGCTGCCGGCGCACTCCTTTGGTTCGTGCTCGCTGCAGCGAAGCGAGTGCGGCCTCCAAGCGCGCTGGACGCGAAGCTGTTCTTGCTGGTTGCGCCCTGGGGACCGATAGCTGTCTACTTTCTATATAGCACTCCTTTGGTTGGTGCTCGCTGTGGGCAAACGAGTGCGGCCTGGAAAAGCGCTGAAAACAAGCAAACAAGCAAGCAAGCGAGCAAGCAAGCAAGCCAGCAAGCCTGAACCAGCCAAAAGCCGCTGACAGAACAAAAAAAACCTGGGCTGGCCCCCCAGCAGAGGGGTCGGCGGCACTGGGCGGCAGCCCTTAAATAAATCCAGAAAACCAAGTATTAGGAATATCGAAATATGAGGCATAAGGTATAGCTCTTCCAAAATGGCCTTGTGGAGGGCATTGATGTGGAACTCATACAGATTCGTTCTTTGAGGATCCATGTGCAAAAATGAGCTCCGGATAGCAATGTAAGGCTAGGACAAGGGAATGCAGGGCCAAAAGCAACGTGCATAGAGCAAGGGATGCAACATGCATCACAACATTCTCAGTGAGTTGCCTGTGTGTCGCTGCCAGCCACCAGCATGTTCCAGAAGGCCTGCATGCAACGCATCCACACTGCAAACTGTCACAAAGCCGCTCGATTTTCTGAACCTGCACTTGAAAGCCGAGACCGGGATATCTCGTGTGCACCTAGGCACCCGTCCCGTGTACTTTTCGGAAAGCGAAGCTAAGGTCGACTTTAAGCCCTCAGCTCCCATGACGTTGTTCCTCCTTCCTTGCGGCTCGTCCGGGCCGTCAATGATTCGAAGCGCCTCCCGCTTCTCCGCTCTTCCGCTCTTCTGCTCTTCCACTCTTCCACTCTTCCGCTCTTCTGCTCCGAGCCTCCTCCTTCTCTTTCCAGGTGGACGGGATGTCCAGCACCCACGAAAGAATGGCCAAGTTCTTGCCTCCAGGCAAAGGTGTGGAGAGACAATACTACAAAACAAACACAGTTCCAGCCTTTGGGTCGGTAGCTGTAGCTCAAGCCCAGGGCATCACAACGAAATACCACCAGCTTGCCCTTCGACAAAGGAAGGGTCACCTCAGGGATAGCTCAACCTGGTGCTTTCCCCGGCAAGGCTGGGCTTGCATCGTTTGCATCTTTTTCATCGTTTGCATCTTCTGTTCAGTCGTTTTATTCTTCTGAGCAGTGCGTTGCTCGTATTTGAAGTGTGCCCTATCCTCATTGTAGTCATAGCCAGTGGGGTTGGGGAAGAGCTCCAGCTCGCCGCCTTCCTGGACGTATCACATTCGGAAACAAAAGAATCCTTTGACAACCAAGGACGCAGCGTTGTCCACTAAGAAAATCATACACAACCGCCTTGCCAGTTCGCAGTTTCAGCTCAACATGAAAACAGCACAAGTCGGCACAGGTTCAGTGACTCAGCCCTGATTCAGCCCAGTGCTTTCCATCGACAAAAGCTATGTGGGAGTCAAGCTGGTGCTGCTCATCCTGGCAGGCCCAGCTTCGCAGCGAATACTCATTGCATGCCACTGGGCCTGGCCAAAAGTGCGACTTCTCACACCTGTCACCCGCAGTAGTGACGGGATGACTCCAATCTTTCTGGCCTTCGTCACCATTCATTGATGCTCTCACCTTGGACAGCGGAGGTTGGCTGGTGGCAGGAAGGCAATTTTAAGGTCGAGGCTAGGCCACTTGTACGCTGGAACACGGCAAAAGCCTTGTCGTCCTCGTACTCGGGCGTGTAAGGCCTTGGCACAGTGGCTACATGATTCACTCACTTCTTTGGTGAGCCCCGCGCCACATCAATGCGGCGATGTTCGTCAAAGATTGATCGCACATCTCCAGCGGCGCCTCAATAGCAAGTAGTGCATCCACAGCTGTACACATGTAGATCCATCAAAAAGAACTGATGAATAAAGGACAGTGCCGTGGCTGCTTGAGTCTGAATGTCTCGTTATCTCTGGTTTTGTCTGCGTGCGTGTGTGTGTGTGTGTGTGTGCGTGTTGCTTGTGTGTCTAAATGTGTTTGTGGGTCTGTGGGCATGCAGGCATGCCTCTGTGTGTCTATGTGTGTGTCTCTGTGCCTCCGTGTCTCTGTCTCTGTATTTTTGTGCGCCTTTGTGCGCATTTGTGCGCCTTTGTGCGCATGTGTGTCTTTCGTGTATGCGGTGTTCCCAAAATACATTCAACAATGGATGAGTGAGGAAACGAGCTATGAAAAAATGAAAAAAGTCCACCTCACACTTCGGCAGCGATGACGAAAGGGCCTGCATGCGTATGGGCAGGCTTGCTGGCTGCAAGGAGGCAAGGTGAAACTAGATGTGCGTGTGTGCAGGGTGCAAAGGCAAAATCCGAAAACGGGCAGTCTGAGTTCAAGCCAGCATTCTAGCTCCTCTTGTCCATGGCACAGCTCAAAAGGCTTGCAATGGACCCATCCCGGAATCGCTTCGCCTCATGCATATTGACATCGCGCTTGTGGCAACAAGCACTGCTTGTAGCGTTACGCGGCTTTCGCAATTTGGCGCGGCATTCGCTATGTCTGTGCTCAAATCCCACCCGCCCACTATCGTAGCTGGGTGAAGCTTGTGGTAGGGTGCAAGCACACCTCATTCTGGTCACAGCTTCTTGTTGATTCATGGCTTCACGAGGTTCAATCATGCTGGGAGTTGGGTCGGTCTGAGCCTGTGGCTCGCATCGCAAGAAACACGGACCAAGTCAGCAAGAACAAGGACAATAAGTCCATCTTCATTTAGAATGAAGCTCTGAAAGCTCTGAGCCAGGAACCAGGTGATCCATCTGCATGCTGGGGCCCATCTCTTCGATGTCGAACATTCGTAGTCCAGCTCTGGCCTGCAGCCCAGCTCGAGATGGAAAGCAAAGCGAAAGCAAAGCGAAGGCAAAGCGAAAGCAAAGCGTCAAAGGCGTCAAAGGCGTCAAAGGCGTCTCGGGCGCGTCTCGAGTTCCCGGCGCTACCAACGTACTGGAGCCAGGACACTTTGCTGTCCACCACATCCACCTTAGCCCAAAAGCCGCATTCTCCGGCATAGCGTCTGCAAGCCTATGAATGACTCAGGCAAGACACCCCCAGGTACTCCTCCTCAGTCTCCTGCCGATCCGCCCAAAGCAGAATAGCTGCTGCTTTGCGGTCCCTCCAAGGGCCGGACACTCGGAAAGACGCCCCATTCCATCTGCTGCATGCTCGCTTCCACCTCTTTGGCAGCCCTGACAGGTTAGAAACAATCAAGCATGACATGTGCAAATCAGAATCTTCTTCGCTTCAGGTAGTCACCCATGCTTGTGAGATGTTTAAACAACTCACGAATCATATGCTGATTGAAACCTTTCCCAAGTTGGCAGGCAGCACTCATCACCCATGGGCATTTCGATGACACAGTACCTCGCACAAAAAGTGAACCAAAGCCGTGGCTGGTTCAAATTTGCGGCGCACCCTTTATCATTGACAGTCTCCGCTACCGTGGCAGAGAACTCCTCATGCTCATCTGGACCCTGAGTCGTGACGCATGCTGTCTTGCTCACGCCCATGTCTCTCCGAAAGCCCGAAAGCGGAAGGCACGCTAAGAGGCACACGCTAGGCCAGGCCACGTCGTAGCCACCATCCTCAGGATGGGGCCTGTCGTAGTCCTGGAAAGTTTTGTGGTGCTGGGAGCGCCACAAACATCCTTGCCTCATCTCCGCTCATGGTGCCGCCTCGCAAGCTTCCAGTCGTTTAAAGGCCAATCTGTCACCAGGGACTCGCAGCATCGCGCCCGCCTGGGCCACAGCAAGGCTGAGGCAGCGAGCGGCGACTCTGAGCCAACGAAAACCACAGCAGAGGGTGGCTGTAAGTCTGAATGAGTCAAGCAGCGAGCATCTCAACTTCTCAATGACACCACCTCTTTTTGCATGCTTGAGGATGCCAATCGATGAAGGAAAACAGAAGAGACTCTGAACGAAAGGCCTATGTCAATCCTCGCCAACAATGCTAAGATTCCATGAAGTGCGATGCATGGCATCTCTACTCAGTCGCCTTGGGCGACAGCTAATTCAAAGCACCCTTGGGGTAGCAGTATCTACAAATAAGAACACGACACTCTGCGTTCTGCTCTAAAGCTCATTTGAGTCAGAATCAAAACCTGGCACTAAAATGGTTTACCCAGAACCATGTAAATAATTAAGAAGGCGGCCGCACCAAATTATTGCGATATACTGCGATTATCCCTTAAAACCCTTCATCTTGGGCTTTGATTGTGGCTCCTAAGAAAGCGGCGTGCGTTCGACACAGCTCCCGCTGTTAAACCCTGGAAGTTCGTCCACTGCGGTCAGCTTAAAACTTTAGTGCGAGCTTTGCAAGACATCAGCGCCAAGCGCTTCGAGGTCGATGAGAAGGCCTTCCGGACAAGACCCCGGGCCCTTGGGCAAATCGTTTGCAGCGCAACCATTCCCCTTTTGCTTCTCAGCTATTCCCATCCACATTTCCTATCTCAAGCCTCCCACGAGGCAGGCGTGGCCATTCCCCGTCAGCGCTTTGCCTCATAAGCCGCATGCTGAAATTGCGCGTAGCAAAAACCAAGCTTCTGGCAGCATCTGCTCCAACCTCTGACGTCTGTCCCATCTCTCTGGTTGGCCTGAATAAATTTGTGAATGCGTGTAACCAGCCATGGCCAAACATGCACCGAGCCCTTAAGGCGCATCCAGGTCGCCCAGAGACACGGAGTTTGCCAGCACGGGCGAGGACCGGCACGAGATCAAAGCTTCGCAACCGAGCTTGGAGAGCGTTGGCCGGCGCAAGGCGACTGACACCGAGGATCCTGGGGATGCTTGGGATACCTGGGAGTGCTCCTTCGAAGCTGGCCATGATGGGCATGGTAGCTGACCTGGCAGTCAATTAGAGGATCAGAAGCAGTGCTCCAAGCATGCTGAGGCAACTACTCCCGCACTCATCATGAGGAACAAAGCCTCAAGGATTACGAATCGAACCCCTGCAAGTCAAACCTCGTGCGGTCAGATCTGTTGGGTTCTGTATGCCTATTCAGGAATTTGGGGGCAAGCACGAAGTCTCCGAGCATCGGACGTCCAGAAACAGGATGGCGGAGGAAGCCTGCCGTACTTCGGAGGTGTACAAACTCTCCTGACTGCATTGCCAGATTGCCAAGGCCCGGCCGAAGTTTTGACAAAAGTCTGTCAAGGAGCCGTAGCCTGCCGAAATCCCAAAACGTCAAAACGCATGGAGCTATCTGAACATGCCTGGTAAAATGTCCATGTTCTTCTGGGTCGCCACCTCCATGCACAGGACCATCGAACGGTTCCGCTTTCCGCCTGGGCTCCCCGACCGGGTCCAAAAGGCCCATCTTGGTCTTCCTCTTTGCCTGGGAAGTTCGAAGCATCTCCAAGTATCAGTTCCCATGCCTAAGAAGCACACAGTGTCCAGCTTTTCCTCTAAAAGCAGCCCGTCAGCAAGGGTTTCCTTCTCCTTCTTCAGCACATCAGTATACACCTGCACTGCAGAAATGCATGACGCCCCATTCTCTTAAGTGGCACCTGAAGGGCGCTTGCTGGATCGAAGGACGCTGAGACCTTAGGAAACAAGTAGACCAGATGATCGAAAAGCGGGTTCCCGAGCACCGACGCATACAGCTTTGTTGGAACAAAGGACCAACATGTGCACGAGCACCCATGCCTGTTGCAGGCATGCTGGCACAAATGGAACATAAACATACGACCCAATGCGCGCAGAATGACATGATATGTGTAATACAGGTATCATAATTATGCATGATCAACGCACGCATGCTGGCACAAAACAATGACAAGGACACTTCAGAGCAACCGTCACCGCTGAATAAGTTATGCCACGAGGGCATTTTGCAGTCTTCGTGCCCTTGTACATGTTGTGGATAATACTTTCATGTTTCATGCAAACAAAAACAGAATCTGCACTACGAACCAAGCCAGCAGACAGGGTTTATGAAATACCCGCTTCGGGTAAACACGCAAGGCAGCCACAAACTTCAGATGGCCTTTCAAAACAATTGCAAGTGATATGACGCTGATATAGCTGATAATATCAGATAATATCTGATATTCCTGAGCTGGGGCCTCACTGTGTAGTGAGGCCCTGGCGCCTGGAAACCGCGGGTGGGGCTTGTTCTTGTCAGGCGGCAAGCCGAATCTGACGCAGGGGACCTGCACAACGCATGCGACACGGTTGCAACATTCAACTGTCTAAGACTGTCTAACTGTCTGCCACATGTTGAATATGACTAATAGCGTTGCAACTATCAACGACATGGCAGTCAATCAAAGCGGTCCTTTGCTTCCATGGCCAAGCTGTGGCTTTCTTGTCATCGCGCTGACTCCCGCTACAGCCAAAGGAATGCAGAGAATGCCAGTGATTCCATGTACGTCTCTTGCAAACATACGCAGTGGCATCAGAGCAAACTGCGAAGCTGCAAACTCACATCAATCGCTAGCTGTAGACACAAGCATCTCTTCAATACGGCCAGCCTGTACTAAACAAAGGGTCTCAGTCATGTGTAGCTTGCCAAGGATTGCTAGCGAATTATATAACCCCCATTGAACATGCAAGTGCGCAGTGACTCTGCAAGTTGGCATGGTGCTCGCCTGCCACTATACCCCGCAAGAGACAAGCTGGCAATCGCATGTGGTCTATCTCCACACTCAACTTGCATCTCTGTCTGTTGCAGTAGGCTATAGAACATAAAAGCAAAGGATCTAAAACGTCAAACTTCTTCAAACAGTCAAGCAGAACAGAATCGAACCATCGTGTGGCAGACTGATTTGCAGCCGCCAAGGCAAACAAAGTGACCTGCACCATGGTCGCAACGGCGGCACATGACAACATAAAACGTGGCTCTCAGAAACCCAGGTGAAGCTGCTGCGCAGAAAAATGTAGCAACTTCACTCGCGTTCCCGTAGGATTCACATGGACCAAATGCTCACGTGCCAGACCTCAACGCCTTGCATGTGCCTGTCGGCACTAAACCTGCACAGCACCTATCTGGAAGGTTAATTCAAACGTTTGGTGGACATTTTCTACAAAAATGTGCTCGAACATGGTCGGTGTACAGTGTGGCACAAGGCCCCCTCGGATCTCATGGCCAGCGTACGGGGCAAAAATAACGGCTCTGGCGCACCTATGACGTTCGTGTACCATTCGGTGGTTGGTCAATATCAAGTCAATCATGAACGTGTTCGTGCTTTTAAGGAGTATCGTTTCTGTTGCAGGGATGACTGGGTGGCCATGCAGGTGCCCTCATCAGGTGCGGCTGCCTCTCCTTGCATTGGTTCCAGTTCAAAAGATGCACACCCTTTTCGTCTTGATAACGATGCGCCGGCTCCTCCTAGCAGCACATCCTCCTCCAGTTCTACTAGTGGTACCCATTACTCCTCTGAGTCAGGCAGCGACTCGGACCGACCGCAGAATGGCTTGGGTGCTAGCAGGAAGGATGAGCCAGTCCGCCCCGAGCTCCGTGCGGCAGGTTCATGTTTTGGCGTCCCGGGCTGGAAACTGATGACAGCACCATGCTGTCTTTGATCCGTACGCCCAGGGTGGTGCGCATTGAGGACTCCTGGACACAGGCTTGACCGGCCCGCAACCTGAGCGCAAGAGGAAATTCCAATAGCTTCGGCCTCTGCTGCCTATGGGAATTGATGGTGGTGGTGGTCCGAAGATGGTCCTGCCAGGCGGCATTTCCTGGCAATTTGGTCACGTATGCAGCCCCGATTTGGATCCGAGTTGCTACCGGCAGTTCTCCTACGGGCAGTTTCTAGTTTGGGGACGGTGCTTGTACCTCGGCAAGATGATGTTTGTCTGAATTCGACTCCTTTGGCGTTTTCTGGTTTTGACCAACGATTCATGCCTCCTTCAGTGCTATGAGTATGGCTCCTTCCTCTCTCGTTGTTCCCCTGAATTTACTTCTGGGGGTTTTGGTGGCAGGGATCGGCTGATTTGCAGTTGGATGGAGGTGACGGTGCAACTTGAGGTCTGGCACCCCCTTGTGCTATGCACTTGGGTGGTCCTTGCTCCCGGGAGCTGGGGTACACCGCGCAGCGCCTTCACTGGTGGGGTAGCTGGTTGATGTCCATTCCGTCCTATCCTTAGTCAGCCGTGCCCCGACAGCGTTTTCCGATGCATTTACAAGGCTTGCAGTGACAATACGCCAATGCCTGCCATCGTGTCGTTTTTCATTCTTTGCCGCCTCATTGGCTGGAGGCCTTACGTGGCTTTGCATCTTTCTTTGATCCATGATCGGCCTTGCTGCGCTTGGATATCTTGGCGTGGCGAATGTCTTGTAACCTATTGCATCCTATTGTGTTTCCATGATCTGCCATTGGTCGCTGGGTGCTTCTTACAGTTTTCTTATTGATGAGTTTTTTCTTGCAGCACTGGCTTCAGCAGTCAATTCAGCAGTCAATCCGTACTGCGATTATTTTGCCATTGAATTCATCCTTGTGTGAGCCTTGCAACTGCCTTGTCTCCATGCTCCTTTCTTTGTTTGCTTTTCCGGTTTTCTGTGTGGGTTTGGGTTGGTTTTTGTTTGCTTGGTTCCCTCTCTGTCTGATGATGAGCCGGAGGCATCGCGACTTCTCACTTTCTCTTCGTCTCACCCCCTTTTGCAATATCTTCTCACCTCTTTTAGTTTATCTGGTTTTTGTGCAGACGCGTGCTCGACACGGAACGCTGCCTCGGGTCAAAAAAGTCCACGCCCTCCTCGACGTGCGTGCCAAGGAAGGGCACGAGCTTCTTGCAGGGGACGGGGAGATGCCGAGGCGCTCCGCCATGGCCGCCGTGCGGGGACCGTACAGGCCCTTCCCAACCTTCATGCGAGCGGGGGCACCTGCAAGGGAAAGTCGTAGTCCACAAGGAGCAGATAGCTCACCTCCTCAGCGTTGGCAACGCTCCCAGTCCAGCCCAGACATGATGTCCAACTGGCCATGTTTTTCCCAAGTCCTGTGCGGGGGCGGCCTCCACCGCTTGGCAAGTGGCACCTGGGGTCACAGTTCAGTGCGAGAACCGAGCGCACCCCTTCATGGCGGCCACGGCAGCTGACGTGGCTGTTATCAACACGGAAGCATCCATGTGTGGTGGGTTGGCAGCGGAAACGGTGGGTGATGCAGTGATGGTTGATCCGCCCCGCTCAGAAGCCGCCAGCCCTGTGGAGGTCCACTGCGGTGGACTGGGCGGCAATTCTTTGTCAGGTGACACGCATGGGTGTCCTGCTGATGTGATTGTCCGGACTGGTGCTGCAAAAGGGCGTCAACCGTATGGTCCTGGTGAAGCAGGTTGACAAGCTTGAGGGCTGGCCTAGAGCACAGGAAGGCATGGCTTTGCATCCTCGGCGAGAGGCCCGCACTAGGCCCGCACAAGGCCCGCACTAGGCCCGCACAAGGCCCGCACTAGGCCCGCACTGGGCCCGCACTAGGGCTTTTCGGGCAAATCGAAAGCTGGCACGGCTCGGCGCGAAGGCTTCGATGCCGGGCCGGTATCGAAGCCCCACAGTCCCGCCCGTCCTTGCTATATGTGCTATATGTGCTATATGGGTCAGGCAACCCGCAGAACCTCCACTCTCGCTCCTTGCTATATGTGCTATATGCGCTATATGGGTCAGGCAACCCGGTGCCAAATATACACTGTGTAGCATATATAGTGTATTTTACGCGCGTCTCGATAGCATCTAGTTATACCTGGTGCCCTTAAGCAGCTTGAGTCTCTCAAAACACTTGACAAAGGAACCCGAGGTAGAGCATCAAATGTAAGGAAAGGTCCTTCTCAGAAAGAGGGGACCCCCAAAAGGAGAGAAGAGGGTTCACACCCGGAAAGATGTGGCAGGCGTAGCCACTCACTCCTCCAACCTGGGTGGGTGGGTGGGAGAAAATCTAAGGCCCTGAAATTGGAAGGAAAGGAAAGGTTTGAGCCTCAAGCTGCAACTCAACAGTTAAGTATAACGCCGCGAGTGCAAGCACTAGCAATCCTTAGACCTGGTGCCCTTAAGCAGCTTGAGTCTCTCAAAACACTTAACAAAGGAACCCTGAGCGCAAGCACTCCTTTTCAGCACACGGGGTAGAAAGGAAAGGTCCTTCTCAGAAAGAGGGGACCCCTAAAAGGAGAAAAGGGTTCACACCCGGAAAGAGGGGGTCCCCCGAAGAAGGATGTCGAGAACTCGCACGCGCCCCCTGTAAACTGAGCGCTCGACCGTGTGTAGCCTGAGGCGGCACAGGCGGACAGAAATGGTAAACAAATACATGTATGAAGAAAGGCATGATTTGCAAAAATTGCGCAAGACATGCATGGGAAATGAAAGCGCGCCGGCAATCAATTTTACAGCTGCAGCTCGCTCCAAAGATTGTTCCAAACGGTTGGTGTAACGTGGGACTTCTGGGATTTCAAGACAAGTAACTGAGACTCATCTCCTCGACTGGGGGCGTCGGCAACATTCACCTCGGTAGGGACCCGGTGGATCCACGGATCGAAGGTCATCCGTTGCTCAAGGCGCAGGAAATGTTGCTCGGCCGTATGGTTGTCGCAGGACATGCGAATATGGGAATGAAGGGCAGCTTCGTTGTCCACATGAAAGAAAATGGCCGTGCCCATCAAAATGGGAAGGATCTCGAGGTAGAAAAATGAAAGCGGGGCTGCCCAAAGAAGTCCACAAGGACTCCTCCAATGGAGGGCTTCCAAAGCACCATCTGTGAAAACGTGCCAAACGAGGCGATCTTTGCTGCTGATTGCTCGAGGCATTGAATAGACAAGGGACTGCAAACAGCGCTCCAAAATCTTCACAATCGATGATGGGGCTCGAGAGCCCGGCACCAGGGCAGAAAGCTCATGCAAAGATGAAAGACATCTCAAATGGTAGCGTCCCGAGAACTGACCATGGGCAAACTGCATGCGGCCTCGCAACTTGCGAGCGGCTTGTCAAGAGCTCTTTCAAGCTGGAAGCCAGGATTTGGACTCCGCGAGAGTAGTGTCAAAAAGTGTCTGGTCTGCAACGGGTCATCTGTAGGTTGACATCGTGCCACAGCGCGAGCCTTCAAAGCCGGGGCCATGCGCTCTAAGGAGATGTCCACTGCAGGTGGTTGTGGGTGCCGGGGCAGTTCCAATGACTCAGGCAGCCAACCAAACAACGGAAACCCGGCAGCAAGTTCGTCAGCGATAGCTGTGTCCTGATAGCCGACGGACTGCAAGGCGTGCTTGAGCAGCACTGTACGCTTCTTGGCGTTGATGCGAGCCACATGCGCATCACACAAGGCGAGGAGCCGCCTTTGACGCGGGGCAAACTCTTCGGCAAGCTGAAGCAATGATTTGAGCCGCATCGCCTGTGGAACTGGTTGCAACGAAATCGACTGCCAAGAGGGGGCAAAAGATTGGCTGGGTGGTGTCTGCGCTACAGAAATAGATGTCAACAGTGAGTGTGCAACTCACAGTTGGGAAAATACATGTTCTACGTGTAGCATCACGGCTCAATACATCAGGGCTAACTTCAAGCAATGGCTCTGGTCTTTGTGAGAAAGGGCGCAACCCTTGTTCCTGCGTGGGTCAAGTCGGCTTACATCGTGGATGTCGACACCATTGAGAATGACAGCATGTGGGTCAAAGAAAGAGAGGACTTGAAGAAATTGCCAAAGTCTGACTTGATTGACCTTTTGTCTCGTGGCGATGCAAGTCCTGCGCGGGATAATGTGCTGGACAAGAAGCGTGAGAAGATGACCAAGACTGTATTGGCTGACCAAGTGTTTGAACGCTTTGATGCCATCGTGTCCAAGACGACGGAAACCAGCAACATCTTCAAGTATGGAAGGGCTATGGCTGATGCTCTTGGCAATGCATTGTCTGGCGCCAGTAGCAGTGGCGAGGTTCAACCACCAAGGCATGGGTATGAGAATATGGCAGTTCATGCAAAGAGGGCCAGAGATGATGTGAAAGCCTACCGTGTGTTCATGCAGGGGGGCATTTGATGGCATCAACTGCTTATGGATGCTACGAGGTCGCGGAACCGGATGAGGTCATGGATTGGCTACTCACTCACAACCATGTCATGCTCTCCCGTGAAGATGCCCGAGATGAACACGGCTCAGATGTTGAGAAGGACAGCAACTCAACTCAGAGCGAGAGTGAAGCGGGTTCGGATGATGGTTCTTGCACAAACGGTGGTTCCATGGTGCTTGACCTTGATGACCTGCAAGACTGGAGCCCCAGGTATTTGAACACTTGGGATGATGACATCAAGTTGGTTGGCATCAATCTGACAACCCCGAAGTTGAGTTTGACTGCTCCGATGTATACAACATTGCTTGAGGTGAAGACAGCCATTTGTGAGGCAATCAATGCGAAGCAGGAGGAAAACGTGGCTCACATCCATGTGTCCGACTTCATCCTGAAGCATGGAATGCAAAAGATGCAGGACGACCATAACCTTGCAACCTACACTGCAAATGGTGAGGATGCATTGAATCTCAGGATGGAGCTTCGCCTTCGCGGTGGTGGAAAGCGTGGGAGAAACCAAGCTCCCGAAGACAAGGATGAAAACCTTACGACCTTGAAGGGCTTGAAGGAAGCGGTGCGAGATGGTGTTGTCCAGCTCAAGTCAATTCAGTCCCCTTCGCCTACAACAACCGAGGCGATGGAAAAGGCAGAGTTCATTTTGCAGACCATTGAGACCAACCCCAAGACATCGGCATCCAATTTGATTGAGCACATCCCCCGCGACAAACTTGGAACAATCGTGGCAGGCACCATCCCGGCAGGAACAAGACCTATGACAAGGCTTCGCTACGTGACAGAGCATTCCATGGCAGACCTCTTCAAGAAGCTGGAGAGTCTTGCAAAGCAGGAACAAGTGGCAACTCGTGTCCTTTGTCAAGCGGTTCATTGTGCAATTCTTGCTGAGCATGGAGACCATCAAGGGCAAATCGGTTGGGGCTCTCTCTTCAAGGTGATGCTTGAGCGGATTACCAACCCTCCATCTGAGAACACCAATTTGGATGGTGGAAATGCCAACCGCTGTAGTGCGATGTGAATAGCATCACTGGCAGTCCCTTTTCCAAAAGAGAAATCCAGCATGTCCATTCTTGAAGCCCTCATTTCCATAGTGGAAACACCAATTCCAAAAAGCCATTTCCAAGTTGGAAACACCACTAAACATGTATTATTTCCTCATCCGAAATACCACTCTGAAATGTCCTGTTTCCAATTAGGAAATACCAGTTTCCAATTAGGAAATACCAGTTTCCAATTAGGAAATACCAGTTTCCAAGAAAATCACAATTACCAAACTGGAAATTATAGCAGGAAATGTCAGCGACTGTCTCCCAAATCCTACTTTTGATGTCCTCCTATCGCAGTGTAGCCAGTAGCGCTATGGTGTGGCAGTGAGATGAAAAAGGGTTGTTGTGCTGATTTTCGCAGAGGTTTGTGGAGGTCTGTAGGTCTGAGGTTGAGAGGATGAGGCTTCTGTCATTGGCTTTGGACTTGCAACCTACCCCCTCCCTCCTTTGTTTTATTGTTAGTTCCCGCATCGGCATCCGCGCAGGTATCTTCATCATGGACTTTACCTACAAGACTTTCCTCTACTAGGTATGGACGGGAGGTGTCGAGAGCGTGTTTTTCTTATATATTATATATAATATATAAGGGGGAAACTCTCGCCAATTTTTCCCTGCCCTGTTTGGCAATTGGCGAGAGTTTCCTGATATATCTATATGAATATTGGTGTTTTATTTGCTTGATAAACTATGGACTATCCCCTTAAACATTAATATTTGCAAAATTTTAGAATTCCTATTTTTTACTGTGTTGTCCTAGAAATTTCAAGTTTCAAGCCCAACCCCAAACTCAAAATCCTTAATCCGTCAAACTCACTAAGATTTCACAAATTAATTCGCTAGGTATTTTGTATAAATCTTCCTGTTTATGAAATACTGGATTGTCTCCCCATTCTGCTTTGGTTTTTGATGGTAGCCGTTGTGCTGTTTCAATATGTTTATTATTCCTGATGTTGCCACAATCCTTTTTACATAAATCTCTAGGTTTCCAGGTTGTAATGTTATTCCAGAGCCTAGTGCGTTTTCTATAAGGCATTCCATATTTACAGTAATCTACATCTTTAAAATCAAACTCATCCATAAACTCCTGATGTTTTAATAATCCAGTTTGTGGATTTTCGATTACAAAATATTTAGGATTGAAATATTTGATAATCTCAATAGTTTTTAAGACAATACTATTTGCATATTCGATATTCCGAATTCCCCTAGTTTTTGCTACACTATATTCAGTGCATGGGGGACTACTCCAAATAAAATCAAAATGGTTTCTGTCAAATTGTTTGTAATCCCACTCCAAAATATCAGTGTTGATATCAGCATTTTTCAAGTCTAATGATATTACATTAAATCCAAGCGACTTTGCTATGGTTCCGACGCTTTTTGTTCCGCTAAATAATTCTAATAAATTCATTTATTAGAATTATTTAGATATTAATTATTCAAATAATACATATACTGTCAAGAGACGGCAAGGTGACGTCCCGTGGGACGCTGTGCACCGAACCCTCCAGCTGTAATACCAACCACGTAGAAAGGTGTATACGGTCAAAGCCGTTATAGCCGAACCCGTGTAAACGTTGTAAGGGAGAAGGAATAATAGTTACAACAGTGGTCCTGACAAATGCAGCGCAAGCGAAGTGTTTTCCGCTCTCAATGCCAATCACGTGTGATCGCAGCTACACATCAGATCTTGAACCTCAATTGCGTCTTGAGCCAAATGGCGATCAATGGAACTCGGTAAGCAACACTAACACAGAAATCAGAACTGCTTCCCAATTTAGGCACGGGGCCTAGAGGGTTTTAACATCCCCCATTTGGGTCGCATTGTTCATCATGCGGTCCAAACACCACAACACGTTCCACTGGCCACGGCTTCAGCAACGAAATCGTGTCGCGCACTCTTTTACTTGCTATCGCTACACCGTTCATTCATTGTGAAACATGCCGGGCTCGATTGTATGAAAAATGAAACATGCATCCACCAATCGAAGCGCATTCCCATATGCAGGTGTATACAATACACTATTGTCACGTCATTTGACCACCATTGAACATCCCAGCTGCCGCATTTGCGCATCGCGCAGCCGTCATCCATAGAAAATGGGTTGGCCATAAAAGTCCAACAGAGGCGCCTGCTCGTAAGCAATCTGCATACCACCGGCGAAGAAATATCGGTGAGCAATCAATGCAAATCATAGCCATCCCAGATACCATTAACAATATATATATAATGAAAAGGAAATCATCCATGAGGTAATAGTTCCATCCATGAATATCCGGAATGTCATAGTCGTCGGAATATGTAAACATATACACATCCATCCATCTTGGACGCATGAAATCATATCATGATGTAAAGTCGTTCCATCACAATGACGTTGATGAGACGCAAGCAACGGATGGGGACTAACCCACATCGTGCCGCAATCAACATCTGCATCACGCATACCTGTCCCCAATGGACAGTCGGTGAGTGCGTCGACGGAACTCCTCGTCCAAGTTCTTCTGGGCTTCTCGCGCCCGGACACACTTCTTGTTATGATCCTCTGGTAACCAATGCCCTTTACGAAGGCACCAATCCAGCAGAGGTGTGTCGCATTTATTCGGGTCGATGGCCGCAATAATGGCACTCACATTGACCGAATAACCATATTTGCCAAGGTTCAGGCCATCCCTCACGAATGATATATACTTACAGTTGAAAGCCAGTGAAAAGCATCTGAAAATAATATCACCCACCGGGCGCACGCGGTCCTTGACCAGGAGCTTCATTTCGTCCTTGGTGACGTCGAGGATTCTCACTGCAATCCACAGCTTGTAGAATGTATATAGTCCCTCGCATTTGCACACCATCATACGAATGTATTCTTCACTCTCCTCAACCGATCGGAAGACCCTTGTCCGAACATTCTCTGATTGAGAAATCTTCAGCTCCGTCGATGGCAAAAGGATCCCTTCCTGATCGTGCTCAGTTATGTTGGGGTATCTCTTGAAGTCGTTGTGGTAAGGGCAGCCCGGCCTCTTTTCGAGTCCGGCATTCAACGTTCTCTCCTCACCACCCTCGAACATCCCCCACATCTTGGACATCTGCAGTGCGATGAATCCCGCCATGTATTGAGCCTCGCGCGGCTCATCAAGGCAAATCGCCATCCGCTGGGAATTTATGATATCCCGTGATGCCAAATCAGTGTCGCGGTAATGCCAACCGCCATCTTCCTGTTCAGACATGTAGCCGGATGTGTATCCTTGTGTGTCCATGTCATCTTCTTCAGGAACTTCCTCCGCCTCGTCATCATCCTCCTGTCGTCGGAGTTGATGTGGATGTAGAACCTCCCGGTGGAGATCAGTTGCGCTTCACATTCCAGGCATAAGCAGAAGCATGTGGGGATTGCGGTCGCACATGACGGACATATCCGGCGCCTCAGTCCTTCCCATGTCTCGTCATTCAGTATGACGACTTTGCTGACTTCGTCCCTGACCTCGTTGACCTGTGCATCGAACTCCTCCATCTTGTTGTTCCGATAAAGTTCGCACGCACGAGCAACCATGTCCTTGATGTAGTGCAGATTATCGGCACCTGCCTCGGTCTCAGGCATCCTCTCGTTGATCTTTGCGACGTTCTGGAGGAACATTGCAGCCGACTCTTGGGATGAGTTGACGAAACCAGGACAGATCTCGTTCTCCACACATTTCGAGTACGCTCTCTTGATGTCAACGTACTCCAGGCTTTTCCCTCCGTTGCTTTTGCCAATCCAAATGGACTTGACCTCATAGGACGGGATCACGTCAAAGACCATGAATGTCCCATTTGCCGCGACTCCAGCTCCATACCGCGCGAGGGTCGCACTGGGAATGTAGATGATCGCAATCGGATCCCCATTCCTTACGTTCCGTAGCGTCACCTTCGTTGCTACGTTCATCTCATCCCATGGAGCAAATGCTCCGAAGTGCAGCGCTAGCCTCCCGCCATCGATTCCGCCGGGGACTAACCCACAGCGTACGATGCTTGGCAGGTTTTCCACATATGTCACATGGAATGCTCCTCCGAGAGTATCACCCATCCTTGCGGAATACCTATTTGCCAGTGCGGATGAGCTCATGAATCCGAAATCACTGTGACCAGTTGTGACTCGGATGCACCAAGGTCTGTACCATCCATCGCATCTGTTGAACATCCTGTCGATGTCGTCCCGGTCCAGGCCAGCTTTGGTCATTTCCTCCCTGGCCCCCTTCGTGTCATTCTGATTCATGATGCTAGGAAACCTTGCTGCCAGGACCTGAAATCTCGATTTCTTGTGTCCAGATTCCTGCCACTTGATCACCTCCATGATGCCCATGTATCGTTTCGCTCTCGAGGTTGTGGGTGGAAATATGTCGTTGTTCCGGTCGTCAATGACTGCGTCAATGTCGACCCATCCACCTTCGTCGCATCTGAAGACACTTCCTCGGCAATTGCCGATTTTGTGCCTGAGGACCCTGCATAGGTTGTGAGATAGCTGATTTGCTTGATCTTTCGTAGCAAATACCGAGCGATCATCGCCAATCCTGCATAGTGGACCATGCTGCTTCTTCCAGTCGACGGCCGATTCCCTGATTTCGTCCTTGTTCTGATCATATTCGAACATTATGCTGCTCTCCTTGGTCACCGGGAAGTAGTGTTTCTTGTATATGTCATCTACCACCTCTCTCAGTATCCTTGCTCTTATCAATGATCGTTGGACTTGATAGGCTGATAATTCCCGATGATCGCTGCTCTTCAACTTCTTCTCGTC